TATAAGCAAAAATGTTTGTGGAATTGAATTGGATTGGCTTAGCTTGGCTTAGCTTAGCTTGGCTTAGCCTAGTTTGGCTTGGCTTGGCTTAGCTTAGCTTGAAATTTTCCAGTATTCTTCACTTCTTTTGTTTGTTTCCATTCTTTTCAGAGATGGAAATGAAATCCAAGAAGGAACAAAAAGACAACGAAAAAATAATTATGTTGCAAAAAAAAAAAAAAACGAGAAAAAATTAAAGAAATAATTTTAATATTAAAATTTTTAATCTATAATTAAAATTAAAATTGAATAAAAATGATAATTTGATTTAGCAAAAGAAATAGTTGAAATTAAATTAAATTGAGCGAAAAAATAATAATTTAAATTAGCAAAATAATTTTTCTTTCTTTTTTATTTTTTACAAAAAAAAAAAAAGGAATTTAACTATAAATTTAAATTTTTGCCATATCACAGATAATTATCAGATTGAATTTTTTTTTTTTTTTTGATGAATCATAAATAATTATCAGATTTATTTCATCTCGTAATGTCATTCTCTCACAATATGCGCACTAGGCGCAATATGTAAGTGCCATTTCCGATTTTTTTTTTTTTTCTATTTTTAGTAATTTTTTTTTTATTAAAAGCATTTATTCTCATTCATCAAATGCATTATAATTTTCAAAAAAAAAAAAAGAAAATGTCATCGTATTTTCCTATAAATTATTTATTTTACAAAAAAAAAAAAAAATTTTTTTTTCTCAGCTCCGATTAGTGTGTTTGCATGAAAAATTTTTCAATTGTAATAAAAATTTTCAAAAAAAAAAAAAAAAAATGTAAATATAAAAAGGTTACAAAAATGATTTGTCAACAATTTTTTTTAAATTTTGATTCATATATTTGATAGATTTTCACATGTATTTGGCATTATAATTTGTTTATTTTTCATATTAAACATTTGGAAATTTAAAAAATTGAAACACAAACAAAAGTTAGAAACAAAATTTAAATTTTATTTCGTTTTTTTCTGTTTTTTGAAATGCAAATAATGAAAAAAATGATGTGATTGAAATATATATTATGTAATAATTTTCATATATTGAAAGACTAAATAAATTAATTAATAAAATTAGTTAATTAATAATACATAACGCTGAGATAATTTTAATAATTATTCAGCAGCAAAATTTAGTTAAAATTATTTTAAAAAGTTATTTTGAAATTTTAAATAAAATAAACTGTAAATTTAAATAAATAAATGTATCAGAAATAATAAAATATGGATAAATATAAAATTTAAATACTGATATTTTTTATAATAATTAAATATACCGGGTAATACTATTATTCACTGACTAATTATTAATTATTTTCATTAATTACCAAAACTCAATAAATTATCTTTTACAAAAATAATTCTCACCAAATACTTTCAAATTTTAAGATAAATAAATTTTTTGAATAAAATAATTTATAATAATATTATTTTTTTATTCTTTTTTTCACTTTTATTTGTGTGTTTAAATTTATTTTTAAAAAAATGCTTAATTTATTTAAAAACTTATAAATTTATTAAAAATTATCTAATTAATTTTACATTAATTTGACAAATTTGTTTATTAAATATATGTGTTAAAATTTCATTTAAATTTGCTATTTTTTTTTTCTTTAATTTTATTTTAAAAGAAGGAAGAAGATTGAATAAATAAAATGAAGGAAATATTTTTGATAAAATTTATTGCTTTTTGCTTATTCAAAATTAAATAATTCATTTTAGTATGATTGAAAAAAAAATTTTTTTTTCTGTTTTTAGATGGTGGGAAAAATTGAATGTTAAGAAATATATTTAATTCAAATTTTATTCCAAAATTTCTTCTCTATCGATGATTATTCCAAAGAATGAAAAAAAAAAATTTTTTTTTCTCACAATAATACGAAATGCTTATGTATTTGTTTATATCTATGAAAAAAAATTCTTCTTTTTTTTTGTTTTTTTGATGAATTAAAATATTAATTTAAATAAATGCTATAATAATAATAAAATATTTAAAAAATAAAAAAACAAAAAAAAAACGAATTTAAAAATAATATTTAAAAATTAATTTAATAAAATTGACATAATGCAAAAATTACATTTCATTTTAAATTATTTTTTAAAATTTTACAATTTTTTTTTTTTTTTTATTCATTCAAATACAATATGAAATTATACAAAAAAAAAAATTTTTTTTCCAATTATACTAAATTTTAAAATTTTTTTAAAATTAATTTTTAAATTTTAAATAAAACTAAAAAAAAATTAGAAATGATTCCATTTCATACAATTATAAACCATTTGCAGAAAATGAAATGAAAATTCGATGAGTTTTTTTTTTTTAAATGAAAGCTATAAAAGAAAAAAAGAATGCAAAAATGGTTTGTGATGATAATTCGATGACAGCCTAAAATCTATTTTTCATTTCTCAATTTTACCCGCTCTTCGGGCTTCTTTTCCCGTATTTCTTTCTTTCATTCAATTCATTCTTCGCTTTTACATTCAACTAAAATCATATCAAACAAATTATTAAATATTCAAAAAAAGGGAGAAAGAGAGGGAAAGAGAGAGAGAGAGAAAGAAGGAAAAGAATAGATTTTTTTATTTTATTTTTATAACTTTGTCAAATTTCAATTAAATAAAAAAATGAGAGAAAAAAAAGAGGAGAAAATAATGATTATAAGCCGTTTCTTCTTCTCTTCTTTAATTCTTTTTTTTTTAATATCTAAAAAAAGAAAAAAAGAAATTTAATGTTTCGGAATGAAAAATTATTGAATTTTTGCGTCTAGGTTTAATTAAGAATTTAATAAAATTAAAAAATTTCAATCATTCAAAGAAAGAGAGAGAGGGAGAGAAAGAAAAAGAGAGAGAGAAAGCAATTGATAATATATTATTGTTTATTCAATCATTTTAATTTGATTGAAATGGACAGTAAATTTTGGTAAAAAATCTTTTTCTATTTATTTATTAAATCGAAATTTTTTGAAATGATTTAGTTATTAATGATAAAATGAAAATAAATTTAAAATTTGTAAAATTATTATATTTCTTAACTTTTACATTATTTTATTCCAAATAATAAAAAATTTCAGTAAACAATTATTAAAATATAAATAAAAGTGAAAAATAAATAAATAAATAAAGTAAAGCGTTTAAAATCATATTATCATCGTAATTTTTTTACTTTTTTTTAAAGTAAAAAAAAATATTTTAATTAGTATATTATTCAAAAAACACAATAATTGTAAAATGCAATAAACAAAAATTATGCAAATTTTTTTATTTTCCTTTTTTTTCCTTTGCAAACTTAAATATTTCATTTCTTTTTTTGTAAAATTTTATTTTATTTTATTTTTTGAATAAATGAATTATATAGAAATTAAATGAATAAAAATTTTTTTCTTCTTCTATTTATGAATTATATAAGAATTGAATGAATTAAATTACTGCTTAATTTTGGATTATTATTTTGGAAAATGAAATAAATTGAAAATAAAAAAGAGAAAAGTTTTCAAATTGTTTGTAAATGATAAAATGAGACGAAAATAATTACTTTTTTACATTTAAATAGTTGAATGAATGCAATTTTATGACGAATGAATTGTTCGAATTCATTAATCATTGATAGAAATTATTTCTTTCATTTAAATTTTCCAATTTTAATTCATCGTTTTTGCTACAAATTAATGTAATTTTGTGCTAATTGAATTGATTATTATAAATTTTTTTATTGAATTGTTCATTCTCGAATTAAATTATGAATATTAACTTTTTATATAATTCATTCAATTTTATACTTTTTTAAACACTTATCAGTCGTTTTTTCTACTCATTATATTTCTTACTTTCGAATTGATTAAATAAATTTGAATTTGAAACAGTGGAAAAAAATATTGAAAAAACTAACAATAATAATTATAAAACTGATAAAAAGTTAATTTGTTTATTCGTGGTAATTGGTGTCATTCAATAATAATAATAATAAATAATGATAATAATTAATAATAATAATAATAATAATAATAATGTGACAGTAGTGATAATAAAATAATCAATTGATCAGTAATCAACAGATAAAACTGATTAATCAATAATCAACAGATTAATATTTGTTTTCATTTAATTTTGAATTGTTTATTAAAAGTAATTAGTTCATACTATTGATCCAATCGAGTCGAAACAAGAAAACAATTAAATAAAAGTTATTTACTAAAAAAATGCAAATTAATAATGTATAAAAAATATCATTTTACCAAAAAAGAAAAGAGTAAATGGACAGAATTTATAAGTAAAAGTAAATAATCAATAAGTGAAGAAAAGGTTAATAATTAGCCTAGACTTTCTAGGCTTCATTTCTTTTACTTTTCATTGTGAAAGTTTTTTTTTTTTTCTTTAAAAAATGTTTGCATTTGTTATGCATTCATTTGTAATAAAAATAGAAATGTGACAAATATAATTTACTATTAATGAATAAAATAGAAAAAAATCTTTTCGTGAAGGAAAAAAGTAAATGCAAGTAAGTAAGTAAGTAAGTAAGTGAAGAAAAGTGCATCGTTTGCAAATGGCATAATTTTTGAATATTAAATTATAAATAATTTTAATCATTAGCTAAAAATATAGGATTAAGCTTAAATTAATCCTTAATTTGATTAATTCCAGTTTTTTTTTTTTTTTAAAAAAGGTCGAAATTTTAAAATTTTCAAAAAAAAGTTGAAAAAAGGTTGCTTTATTTTATTTTTTAATAAATTTATTTCATCCTCTATTTTGTAAATAATACATTAATAATAGCTATAAGGCAGTAGGCTACATTTATATTTTCTTAAAAATGAATAAAGATAACAATGAATTGAAATTATTTTAAAATGCACAATAATGAATTGAAATTGCTTTAAATTGCATAAAAGTGAATTGAAATTATTTTAAATTGCATAAAAATGAATTGAAATTGTTTTAAATTGCAATTCGTTCTTTTTTTTTTACTTTTTTACTAATTCAAATACTTTAACATTTCTGATTTCCAATAATAATACAATGCTAAGCGATCAAATGCATATTCAAAATGATCAAAATTTGTTTGAGTAATTTCAGCATGCTCAAATGACCAAATTGCCCAAAATAAATGAGGAAATGCTGCAAACTGACGTATTTCATTTAATAAATGATTGATTGAAATTTCACGATCAATCGATAAATCACGGATGCATTGAATTCTCTTTCCATTATTATCAACGCAAATCTAAAATATTTAACAAATGAAATTTTATTAAATTAAAATTTAAAAAAAAAATTTTTTTTTAATTGTCTTTAATGTATACATAATTAATTTATATCATTTAAAAATAACAAATACTTATAAAAAATAATTTTTTGCATATTTATCCTTTACAAATCATATTGACACATTTCAATTGGTTATTATTAACCATTTAAATTTATTAATCGTTTAAATTTATTAATCAATCAAATCTATTATTCATTTAAATTTATTAATCATTTAAATTGATATTTATTAATAAAATTCTCATTCATTTCTAATATTATTAATTTAAATTTTAGTACCACGATTTATTGTGATAATTTGTAAACGTTTTCTTTTTATTTAACATTTTAAATCTATTTTTGATGATTGTATTACTTTTATTAAAAATAATATTATACTTAAGATTAAACAGTAAATATTTTTGTGACAATTAAATGACAAACTAACTTTCATTGCCTCATCAATATAGGCACTAATATATAAACGTTGAATTGCTTCATTTGGCCATTGATTTTGTTTTACTTCATAGTAAGGCCATATGTTACCTTCGTTATGTAAACAACATTCGACACAGTAATGACATAAATCAAAACCACTAAAATAAAAATATTTTTGATTATTTATAAATTATTTCTAAAAAAATCTTTTAAAATAGGTAAAAATTAATTATTGATTCTTTCAAAAAATAAACGTTAATTATTAATAGGTAAAAAGTTTGTTAATTATTATTTATTAATTATTTTAAAGGTAAATTATTATGTATTTTTATTGCTAAGTATTAAAATTATCCTTTTAAAAAAAATAGTATTTTCTTTTTATTTAATTATTATTTATTAATTATTTTAAAGGCAAATTATTATGTATTTTTATTGCTAAGTATTAAAATTATCCTTTTAAAAAAAATAGTATTTTCTTTTTATTTAATCACTATTTATTAATAATTCTTGTAAAAATAAACTAATAGGTAAAAAATTTCCTTCCAAAACTTTTATGAATTAATGCAAAGTTGTATTTAAAGAAAAAAATACGTTTAGAATTATTTACTTCATTTCATTTTAGTTTAGCAAAAAAAAATTTAATTTTAATTTCAAACATTGCTAAATATTATTTTGATTCAATTTACTTTCTACTTTTAGATATATTTACTAACCATACAAAAGTTTATGTTATTTCAAATTTTAATTTCACTTTCCTATTTTTATCTTATCAAAATTAATCGATAAAAGATTTTTTTTATCTAAAATTATCTAAAAAAAATGAAAAATTTTGAAAAAAAAAGTGGAGAATAAATTAAATGTCAAATAATCTTAATACATTTATACCTTACTTATTACCTTAATTTTAATCAAATTAAAAATTATTTGAAAGAAAAAGGAAAAAAAGATGAATAAACAACCGATAATAATAACAGCCATATTCATAATCAATCAGAATAATCGGATCTTCATCATCTTTTCGACCGATCAAACCCTGATCAGTAATTTTGATACCATCACGTAAAAGTAAATTTCCTTCCTGCAAAATTACTTTATCACATAAATATTTAAAGTTAATACTTAAAAAAAAAGATCGTAAATTATGCATTGTTGAACAATTTTTCAAAAAAAAAGAAAAAAAAATTGTCTTACAAATAATTAAAAGTTAAATTTTTCATTTGTTCAAATTAATCTAAGAAAAAAAAAAATGAAAAAAACTTTTGAACTTCTTTTTTAATTTAACAAAAAGAAGGTAATATCATTATAAGATATTAAAATATGTTTAAATTGTTTCGAATATTTTCATTGTTTACAAAAAAAAATAAAAAATAAAAAATTGATAGTATTCAAAAAGATCAAAATTTGAAATATTTTAATTTTTACAAATTGAAGTTCAAAAAAATGAATAAACACACATGTAAATCATTGTTACTAAAAACAAGTGGACTACCACTTTGCGCCAAGCATTTCTTGCATATCTCCAATTCCTCTGCTAATAGATCAATAGTGATAAGATCAGGATACTGTAATGAAAAAAATATAATTGAAATGAAAAATTAGGAGAAAGCTAATTATGATAATAATGATAATAAAAGAGAACAAGAAATAAAGATTAAGTGATAGTATAACTTACGAATGCTTTATCAACTTTTGCTAAAGTAGTATGCATTGGATAATTTTGTGTTTTCCATCGATCTGAACTTCTCAACCTTTCGATCATATCATCAACAAATTGCGCCAAACGACATTCTTTGCTAATTGGCATATCTAATGAATGTATTCTTGCAAGAATTCGACCAACTTCTTGTGCAACACTAAAATAAATATTTTAATTAAATAATTAAAATTGAAAAAAAAAACATTACAGTTAAAATAAATATTATTAGAATTCTTTAATCTAATTATTCTTAAAAATATATGAGTATTTCTTGAAGACTAACGTGAAATACGTTTTCCAAAAAGGAAAGAAAAATATTTCTACGTGAAATACGCTTTCAAAAAAAAAAAAAGAAAAATTAAATTAACAAAATACAAAATATTTAACCATGCTTTGCAATATTCATCATTGGTAAGCGGACGTGATGGAATATATTCTTCAAAACGTCCACCAGGAAATATTCCCAATAAACGTGGACTCAAACGTCTATAAAAAAGTAAATTAGCAGACGAATATATCAATTATCAAATAATCACTAAATTAATTATTATTTTAAATATTAAAAAAATTTTAGAATTTATTTTGGATTATTTGATGCAAAATTACTAATATAATGTGCAATATAATTGAGAAAAAAGAGCTAACTTATTTAAAAAAAAAAAAAACTAACTTATGATTTACTTAAGTCACTTACTGCAAAATATAAGTAATAAATAAGTTTGTGTAATAAATAATAAACAAAATGAAAAACCTTTCTGATAATACCGCTGTGATAATACCTTCAGGTAATTCGTTATTTTCATTGAGATTTTCATAGATACGAAGAATTACTTTATGCATTGATTTGTTATATTCAAATTTCATTTCATCTGGTAATTCCACCATTAAAATTTTATTATTTGATCCACCTCTATATGCTTTTCCAGTTATATTTAATGAAAAATTTACATTTTTAATTAACTTCACAACAAAAGTAAGAAATTACTTTAAGTGAGAGTAACTAAAATCTAATTTTTACTCAAACATTTGAATGCTTTAAAATTCTAAAAAATCATTTTAGAAAATAATTTCCTTTTTTTTTGATGATATTTTTTTAATGAAAAGATAAATGAAAGACTTTTCACTCATTAACTAAATCAAATTTTCAAATAATAATTTCAAATTTTTTAAAATTTGAAAAATTCAAATAATAATTTCAATTTAAACTACAAATTAAAATTTACTTTAACATATCAAACAAATTAAACATTTTTTATATTCAAATGAAATTCGTTGCAAAAATTAATCATTCATTTAAAAAAAAAGTGCAAAAAATTTGCAAATAAATTTTTATAAATGAATTAAATAAAAAAAAAATTTTTTTTTTAAACATAAATTTATAGCTAATAAGTAATAAAGTGAAAAATATTTTTATTATTGAAAAAATTTCATTTATTTATGAAAAAATAAGATAAACAAAATAAAATCAACCTTTGTGTTGCAATGCGAATTTGCTCAGATGGTACTGTTGTCCAAATACCACCAAGATATGTTGCGCATAATTGACTAAGCTTATTTCGAAGTTGTAAATCATCAAATGATCGACCAAATATACATTTTAAAGTATTTCGTTCATCAGTCATTTTGCTATTAGAATTAAATTAACGCATTAAAATATATAATTTTTAACTATTAAAGCTATTAAAATTAGAACTTTTCAAACTAAAAAATTATTACTATTAAAAAATATATATTTTATTATTACAAAATTGATAACAAATAACAATTTCCCATGCCAAAATGTAAAATTAAAAATCGATAATCAAACAAATATGTGCAAATAATAACAGTGGAATGACACTGATGGCGACTATTAGTCATTGGGAAGAACTTTAAAAATGACACTGTAATCTTTGGACTTATCCGTCTTGTCATAATGAAACTTAAAATTGTGACAAATATTCTCCCTATGATTTACAAATAATTTTCATTTATTAACAATAACAATAGCAATGACAACAACAAAAAAAACTTTCTTTCTTTTTTTTAAAATTTGTGAACACAATAAAATATTCTATAATATAAAATTAATATTTACTTTATGTGAGTTTTTTTTATTTGTTCGATAAACTTAATTTTATTTAATAAAATAAACAAATTGTTATGGGCTAATTGGTTCCATATGATTTATTTGTTGAAAAATTAATATAGATATAAATAAGAAAATAAAAAGAAGAAATGAATGACAGCAATGAATTTTAGTATTTCATTATAAATAATGCTATTAAATAAATTAATCTTATAATATTAATAATAATAATTAATTAATTAGCAAACTAATCAAATAAAAACTCATTATTCCCTTTAAAAAGTTATTTTTTTTCAATTTTTAAGCTTAATAAATGCAAATATCTAAATTTTATTATTTGACATAAAGTTGAACTGCCTCTTCTCTTCCTTTCATTCCTTTATCATTTCATCTCTCTGTCTCTCTCTCACTCCGTCTCTAAGTCTCATCGATTTGCGCATATCATTTTATTCCCTCAATTAAACTACACTTTCCACTTCATTCCTTCCACCTTCATTTCACTCTTTCTCTTTTTCTTTTCTCTTTTTATCTAGCAACTTTCTCTGTCCAAAAATAAATCCTTTCTCTTCATTTTTCCACTTTTTTAAACTTTTTTTCCTTCTTTTTTATTTCTTAATCCAATAGCTTACTTAAGTAATCCATTTCATTCTTATCTCTTCAAAGTTCTTTTCAAACTTTCATTTTTATAAATCTTTCACATATTCCTTCACTTTTTTCATCATTTCTTCATAGTCTTCACTTTTTCATCATTTCTTCATATTCCTTCACTTCATCATTTTTCATATTCCTTCTTTTCATCATTTCTTCACATATTCCTTCATCATCATTTGTCACTTCATCATTTCTTCACATATTCCTTCACTTCATCATTTTACATATTCCTTCATCATCATTTCTTAAAGTTCATTCATCATTTGTTCACATATTCATTCATCATTTCTTCACATATTCATTCATCATTTCTTCAATATTCCTTCATTCATCAGTTCACATATTCATTTCATCATTTCTTCATATTCACTTTTCATCATTTCTTCACATATTCAATTTTCATCATTTCTTCACATATTCCTTCACTTTTTTCATCATTTGTTCACATATTCCTTCACTTTTTTCATCATTTCTTCACATATTCCTTCACTTTTCATCATTTCTTCACATATTCCTTCACTTTTTTCATCATTTCTTCACATATTCCTTCACTTTTTTCATCATTTCTTCACATATTCCTTCACTTTTTTCATCATTTCTTCACATATTCCTTCACTTTTTTCATCATTTCTTCACATATTCCTTCACTTTTTTCATCATTTCTTCACTTTTTTCATCATTTCTTCACATATTCCTTCACTTTTTTCATCATTTCTTCACATATTCCTTCACTTTTTTCATCATTTCTTCACATATTCCTTCACTTTTTTCATCATTTCTTCACATATTCCTTCACTTTTTATCATTTTTTCACATATTCCTTCACTTTTTTCATCATTTCTTCACATATTCCTTCACTTTTTTCATCATTTCTTCACATATTCCTTCACTTTTTCATCATTCACATATTCCTTCACTTTTTTCATCATTTCTTCACATATTCCTTCACTTTTTTCATCATTTCTTCACATATTCCTTCATTCATCATTTTCACTTTTTCATCATTTCTTCACATATTCCTTCACTTTTTCATCATTTCTTCACATATTCCTTCACTTTTTCATCATCATTTCTTCACATATTCCTTCATTCATTTCTTCACATATTCACTTTTCATCATTTCTTCACATATTTTCATCTTTTTCACATATTCCTTCATCATTTCTTCACATATCATTTTTCATCATTTCTTCACATATTCATTTTTCACATATTCCTTCACTATTTTTATCATTTTTTCACATATTCCTTCACTTTTTTAAAGGTGAAAAATTTTGTCGGACTGAGTAAAAAAGAAATGAATGACAGGAAATGACGAGTAAAATGAAATGATATTGATGAAAAAAGTGGAGGAATATGTGAAGAAATGATGAAAATAGTGAAGGAATATGTGAAGAAATGATGAAAAAAGTGAAGGAATATGTGAAGAAATGATGAAAAAAGTGAAGGAATATGTGAAGAAATGATGAAAAAAGTAAAGGAATATGTGAAGAAATGATGAAAAAAGTGAAGGAATATGTGAAGAAATGATGAAAAAAGTGAAGGAATATGTGAAGAAATGATGAAAAAAGTGAAGGAATATGTGAAGAAATGATGAAAAAAAGTGAAGGAATGATGAAGATAGTGAAGGAATATGTGAAGAAATGATGAAATTTTTGAAAAGCATTTAAATGCTTTTCTCAGTTTGTAAAATTTTGTTTCATCTGCAAAATTAATGTGTAAAAAATCTGAGTATAAATTGAATGAACAAATGCTTCTGTCAGCTGTTATTGTTACTTCATTGACAGAAAACGTGAAATAATTTCATTTATTTAATCGAATCAAACCAATAACTCTCTTTGCTAATTCACCCTAAATTCATAAATAATTTAAAAAATATTAGTGTTTTTTTTTTTGTTATTCTCTTTAAATATAAGTTTTTTTGTAGTTTTATAATATTATTTGAAAAAAATTTTAGCGAATAAATTGATGATATGGCAGATTATACTTTAATTACTAAATTTCATTGCAAATATTAGGAATTATTCGGCTGCTCAAGAAAATAAAAAAAAAGAAACCTAGACAAGAGAAGCTAAAAGGTCAGTTTACTGATATTATCAAATGATTAACAATAAATGTCATTCATTTCAGAATAATGGTTGATGATAAGAAATTATTTGTAAACAAACAAAACTCTTAGCTCTAATTTTGATTAAAATTTAAATTTATAAATATGCTATTGTTGTTATTAATATATTTGACATCTGTTATGTCATCACCACCTGAACTAAGACTACGAAATGATTTAATGCATGATTATAATCCACTGGAACGACCGGTTGAAAGAAGTGAGGATCCGGTTGTTGTGACACTTGGTGTTGTTTTTCAGCAAATTATTGATTTGGTATAATTTCAATTTTTTAATTTTAATTTCATTTTAAACTAAATTATCAAACATTTCACATACATACATTATTTATTTTTGATCTTTTCCATTCAATTAATACTTGTATTTTTTCAATAAAAGAATAAGAATGAAATAATTTTAGTAAATTTTAGAATTTATCAAAAATATTTGATTGAAATTTATAGAATGAACGACAAGAGAAACTAGAGGTAAATGCATGGTTAAAATATAATTGGATAGATATGAAATTACGTTGGGATCCATTAGAATATGAAAATGTAACCGATTTAAGACATCCGGCTGGTACCATCTGGCAACCTGATATTTTACTCTATAACAGGTAAATTATTCTATTGTACTAATTACTCTGTAATTTTTATTTATTAAATGTAAATTTTTTATTTGAAGTGAACTTTGTTTTACTTGTAACTTTTACAATTAAACCTTATTGAAATTGGTTTTTTTTTATGATAGTTTTTTGAATATAATTTTTCAATGTAATACTCTTAAATTTTGTATTCAAAAAAAAAATTTTTATTTCAATTTTTTCAATTTTTTTTTCAATTTTTATTTGTTGATTTCAATAATATTTCAAATGTTTAGTGTTTCATTAGGGAAATAGTTATAAAATAATAATTTTTCAGTGTAATACTTTTAAATTTTGCATTAAAAAAATTCAATTTTTTCATTTTTATTTCATTTTCTTCAATTTTATTTCAATTTTTTAATTTTTTCAATTTATATTTGTTGTTTTCAATAACATTTGAAGTATTTTAGTGTTGATTCAGCTTTTGATAGTACATTTAAAGTGAATGCAATTAGTAGTAATGATGGTTCAATAACATGGATACCACCTGGAATTTTTAAAATTTCATGCAAAATTGATATTTATTGGTTTCCATTCGATGAACAAATTTGCTTTTTAAAGGTTTTCATTTAAATTATTATTTAATTACTTTTAATTCACTAATTAGGCGAGGATTTTTTCTTTTCATTCATTACTTGATATCAAAGGTCTTTTATATTCTTCAATTAAAATACTTACATATTTACTTCATACTTATTTACTTATTATAATTAATTAGTTAACATTGAATTATTCCTTCTATTTCAATTATTAATTTGAGATATGTCAATCGAAACATACATTTTTTTTGTAAAAATTAATTTAAAATTGAAATTTGAAAAACAAGAAATTATTTGTCTATAGTTTGGTTCCTGGTCATTTAGTGGTCGTGAAATTGATCTTCAACCGGGTGATTTTGATATGTCCGATTTTATTGAAAACGGAGAATGGATTATTATCAGTTAGTATTGATTTTTCTTTTCTTAAACTTTTATACTAAGAATTGTTAATTTGAATTAACAATTTATCCGAAAATTGCAACCGGAATTCAGCAATATTTATAACAAAAAAAAAAAAGATACAAACATGAATTATTTATTTTCATCATCAAAATAATTTCAATTTTTAGAAACTTGGGAACAAAGAAATGAAAAATTTTATGAATGTTGTC